CACGAAGAAATACTACAAGGACTAAGAGACCGGGAAAACTATGTAATTAGAGATCGAGTAATAGCAGAATGGAGAGAAGCCTTTGCCACGCGGGATTTAGCCAATCAATGAAGACTTAACACCGGTTTGCAACTGGATGAAGCTGTGACCGCCCAAGGAAATGGTTGGTTACCAGAGCAAATTGTTAATCGTCAAGCCCAATTAGATGCTACTCTCTACGACCCTTTAACTACTACCGTGGAGACCGCACGAAATTGAAGTGCTGCTTTTCCGATGGCTTTCCTTCGTCAGCGTTGAATAGACACCGGTTTAAGTTGAGAACAAGCCCAACTAGCCGCCAATAATGGTTGAAGTCCTGACGACATTATTCAGCCGGTTGACCTGCTGAACCCTCAAGCCCAATTTACCCGCTACGGCGAAGCAGTTCCCTATCCGATAACCACTAGTCAAAGAGAGGCCAAAACCAGAGAATGAGAGAGAATATTTTTCACGGACCGGGGAATTACGGAACTGGCGGCTAAACTCCAATGGATATATACTGGTCTAACTCCCCAGCAAGCGATTACGGCTTATGAAAACCAAGGTTGGAATACGTTAGACGGAGTGATTATTAGAAGAAATGAAGAAGAAGAAGAAGAAGAAGAAGAAGAAGAAGAAGAACGCGTTTTAACTTATAGAATTAATAACCAAGACTTAGAAATTAATCTCCTTACTCATGCCCGCGGCGATTTAGCGGCGGCCGAGACGCTTTTCCAAGTGATTAATGATGCTCCCGACTCCGGGACGCTAATGAGCCAAAATCCGGGCGGAATTGACCGTCGAATTAACCACTTTAATGTGGCCGACGAAAACTTACCCGAAGGAGCTCGCAAAGCAGATATAATTAGACATCGCAACCGCCGAGCCCGTGAACTTAATGGTTGACCGCTTGATACTCGACTTATTCCGTTGGGAGATGACACTTTTGGTAATTTTGAAGTCGTGGACGAAAACACGGCTAATTACACTTCTTATCAAATAACTACGGAAAACCTTGATCCTAATTCTCACGCCCGGGAACTCCTGGATAGAGTTCATCAAATTTTAGCGGACATTAATACTAAAACGGTTGACAATATTAATGATTTAGCCGACGGCAGCCAACACCCTATTTTTGCTCGTATTGAAGCCCTTACTCCCGCCGACAACGCTAAATTACCAGTCAACCGCCAAAAAGCCGCTTTACACCAGGCAAGAAACGCCAAGCATGACCAAATAACCCGGATCGAAGCCGATTGATTTGCTTTTCTGGCGGATCGTGCGGATTTCTTTGGGGGAGCGGACCGCACTGCGGAACAGGCACTTTTAGTGGCCGGATGAAAAGACAGTGGTTTCAGCCCTCATCGTTTTCCTTTACTGGGAATTGATAGCGATTTAGAGCAAATTTGAGCCTGTGGCTGAAGAGACTTACGCAATAACCACGGCAATGGAGATACCGGAGAAGGAAGAATTGTTGATTTGGACTCCGAAAGCGGAACTTTCACTTTTATCTCTTATGGCATAGAGAGGGAAGGCGTGGACCCGCGAATTACCTCCAAAGACGATTTAAATTTTATTCACGAGTTCTTATCCTTAGGAAGTAACGGAATGGACGAAGCGGCTGTTTTAGCTTATTACAAAAAAAGTCCGAATAATCAATGAAGTATCGGTGGCGAAGGGGCCCGAAATGCCTATAATAATGGTTGAAAGCCGGAAGAAATTGCCATGGATAATGATGGCCGCGGCCTGGTTTGCCTAGCAGCCGACAAAACTAATCCGGCTAATTGAGAAATTTATAGTTATTGACGAGCCGGCAAAACTCGCAGTGCCAAATACCAACAATTATTTAAAGAAAGCGGAAATGGTATATTGACTGAAGAAAGAGAATTACCTACTGACGAAGCCATTCAGGCCTGAGAGGAAATTTATGCCGACCCGGCTCTGGCTCGTCAGGCTTACGATAATTATTGAGACCCTGAAAATACTGGTAGTTTGACTAGCGGTCATTCCGGCGAAATTACTTGAAACGGAATAGATTACGACCAGAGCATTAACCCGCTCCAAGAGACCAAAAAAGATGCCTACTTTAACCAATTTATTGGCAGCCCGCGTAGCCCGCTAATCGGAGCCGACCATGCCCGAATTTGAAATCATTATGCCCATGCGGAAGACCGCGAACAGGAAATATTTGCCTGAATGAATAAACATTTTACTCCGCAGGATGCCCGGATTGCTTATGATAGTGGTTGGGATGCCGCTGATGTAGACGATAATTGAGAAGTTCCCGGAAACCATGGTATGGGTAGAGTTGCTGGCAGTATTCGTGGTTATAGCATTGCCACGATTACCAAAGCCGGAGCACAATTTATTCATGATTTTGAGGGAACCAATCCTTCGGGACTGGGCAACCAAATATTAGATTACAGAAACACAGGATATAATGCTGCTGAAGCCCGCCAGGCTTATGATAACGGTTGACACGACCCTAACCAATTAGGAACTGAGGTAATTTCTTATACTTCTCGCGGACAAACTACTGATGAGGTTAATCCTCTTATCCATTCGAAAGATGATTTAGATATTGCACATAACATTTTTAACTTTATTGAGAACGCCCCGGAATATATGTTGATTGATATTAGTGAAGAGGGAGAAAATAATCTAGCGTGAATTTGAGGAGCTAATGATAATTTATTGCCGGTTACTCGCCGCAAAAGAGCCGTATTTACCGCCGCGGCGAATCGAGCTTATGACATTTTTCTAAATTCTCTGCAAACCGCACCGGATCTGGCCACGCTAAATCATTGTTCTGCAATGACAAATAACTTAGATTATGATAAACTTACAGAGGGAAGAAATCAAGCCACTTTACAAGCGGCCTACGCCACCCGCGAAGCGGTGCTTAATCCGGTCAACCCAGGTGGGGGCGGAGGTGGAGGCGGCGGCCCTTATGTCCCTCCAGTAAATCCCAATCCGGGTAATCCCGGTGGCTTTACGGCTGCTTCGCAAACACAAACGTCAACTAACAATAACGAACAAACAACGGAAAATCAAGTTCCAACCAGCACTCCAACTTCTTCATCAACTACTAACCCAGATTCCAACTCAACTGGTAGTTCTTCGGGCGATTCATCTGCCCCGGGCGGTGGTTATTCCGGCAGTTTCGGTGGAGGCTATTCTAGCAGCAGCAGCGGAACAAGTAAAGGAACTGATTCTGCCACCCCTCCTTCGCAACCAGAACCTCTCCCTACCGAACCAACTAAAGACCAACCTACTACTCCCCCACCAACTTCTTTAGCTACTTGCTGAGAAAAAATTAATCGTTTAGAAGACACCTTAGCCGAAACCCCCACCTTATCTCCCGAAGAAGTAGAAAAAAATATTCAACAATTAAATGAGATTGAAAAAGTTTCCACTCAATTAACCAACGAACCGACTAATGAAATCCTTAATCCTGAAAAAGAAGAAATTCAAAATAAATCTATTAACTTACAAATTGAATTAATTAAAAAGATTCCAGATTCCGAAATTGTAAAAGCTCGCCAAATTGCCTATGAAATAGTTATAAAATATGCTAATCAGCAAGGTTTAACTAATTACTCTTATGATAAAAGCCAATTAGAACAATTAACTACTAGTGCAGCCATCGCCCAACAGGTTCGACAAACTATTGAGCAAATTCAACAGCAAAAATTACAAAGAGTTAGTTTGTCAAAGCCAACTAACGAAGGAAATAAATGACTACCTTGAGCTATTGGTGGAGGAGCAGTTTTAGTAGTGGCTACTCTAGGAACCGCTGCTTGGTATTTAAATAAAATTCCTACTTCCAAAGGAACTAAAACGCCTCCTAAAAAAAAGTAAATTCTAAGTAAAAAGTTTAGAAAAAAATGAAGGCCGAAAAGTATTGCACTTTAAAAATTTAGTATATGAAAAAAATTTTTAAATTAGATCTACAGTTTTTTGCTCAAAAAAAAGCCGGAGGCACGGCTTCAACTAATCGGAGCCATAAATCTTATAATCCCAAAAATCTCGGAGTGAAAAAATTTGGAGGAGAACGGGTCAAAAGCGGTAATATAATTTTGCGGCAAAGAGGAAGTAAATACGAACTAGGAAAAAATGTTTATTTTGGCAAAGACTATAGTATCCATGCTGGCATTGATGGCTGTGTAGAATATTATAAAAGTCGAAAGAACAAAACATTTGTGAGAGTTGTCATGAATTAAAAAGCAAATAACTAAGCAAAGAATATGTTGCGTTTATTGTTTAGTTTGACCTCTCGTTTCCTCTTTGTTGCCCTTTTGCAGGATAAAAAATGCTTAGCCAACCTCAGTCGGGATAATTTTCGCCAACATACAGAGAAATTTTTTCCAGCCTTACAGAAAATTTTGTCTAAAAATGGTTACTCTTTAAAAGACATTGGAGAAATTTACTTTACTGATTTACCTGGGAGCCAAACCGGACAACGAATTAGTTTAGCCTTTGTGCTTGCTTTGCAAGTGTTAAATCCCCGGATTAAAATTTATCATCTTAACAGTTTACTTTTTCAGGTAGGAGAGAAAAAAGCTATTAGTCTAATTAGCATTGA